AAAAAATTCGCGCCACTTCGTCATCCTATCAATGATAAAACCAACCTATCGCGAATCGCTAGCAGTCTTTTTCCCGCGCTTCTACCGAGTCACATGTTTTTGCTTGGAGTTTTGATTGGTTAACTGCTTTTTTTGTGATTAGCTAGAGTGATTTGATGCTTTCGTTACCAGGTGGTTAGACAAATCTCGAAGGTGGGCGCTTGTAGGACTGAGGTGGATAGAATTTTACAAGAGCACTGATCGAATTTGTGGTATTTGTTTTTAAGGTGGATCCTCCCGAGATTGTTGATGAGGAGGCTCCCTTCGCCGACTGGAAGGAGATGATTTGGGAAGGCGCTTTAACAGAACTGTCACAAAGTGAAGTTCCAGATACGAATGACACTCCGTTACCATCTGAATCAGTAGTAGTCGTAAATGGTGCGTTACCATCTGAATCAGCAGTAATCGTGACTGAGCCTCCCTCGACGATTGCGTTACAAAGCAAGGAGAGGTCTGAACCTGAGCCAGTTGACTCGTCCGAGTGCACGTGGATCCAAAACACGCAAATTCGTGTTTGCGCCGGTGACTTAACGAAAGAAGTGGTAGATGCGATATTAATAACAAATAAAGATAACCTGGACTTGAATAAGGGAGGTCAGTTAAATAAGCATATTAACCTAGCAGCCGGGCCATCTGTGAAGAGTGAATGCAAGCTTCTCATCAATGAAAATGGTGCGCAGCTTCCTGGCAACGCTGTGATGACGTCAGCAGGGAACCTCCCTTGTAAGAAAATTGTACACGTTATCGCTTACCCAGGCCCACCACAGATCCTCGACCTTCAGCTGGGCGTGAAAACTGGGCTTCAGTTGGCTGACGAAAGGGGAATGAGTTCCATAGCTTTGCCAACTATAGGCGCAGGGTGCATGGGACTGACACCGTCAAACTCGGCCCGGGTTCTTTCAGGGGGAATTTTGAGCTTTTTGGAGCGTCGCCCCCGAAACTTGCGCGAGATCAGGATTGTCCTGTATGACGACAGTTTGTTGCCGATATTTGTCCAAGAAGTGACGAACGACTTTGCCCCTATTAAGGCCCTTCAAGAGTATTCTCCCCTCTCTACCGAACGGCTAGACGAAGACTGCATCCCTCAGGTAACCAACCGGAATACCGCGATCAACGGAGGGAGAGCAAAGTATCCGCCCGATAATACCTCGGCCGAGTTTCGTGTGTATGGTAAAGATAGGAAGACCGTCACAAGTGCTGTGAACAGTTTGCGCAATGTTTTCGCGAAGCACCTAACAGTCCAAAGAGTTACGCATAAGTTAGTCCCTGGTCTGTTTGAGAGCTCCTGGACGTGGCTTTGTGAGGTGGCATCGAAACACCAGACAGATCTCAAGAATGAGGCGCACAATAGTACCATCATCGTAAGCGGCATTTCGGACGATGTCGCCTCAGTGGTGGGATGCATTTGGCAAGAAATCAGCAGGCTCGCGGAAAGTCAAAACAACCTTGAAAAGCGCAAACTGATGTCGCAATATGTTCGATGGCATTACGTTATTCTTGACAAGGAAATCGCTGTCACTGAGAAACTCAGCTCTACGATCGAGGAGGCATTTAGTCAGGAAAAAGAAGGAGTGACGCTCTTTATGGATGACCACAAATATTGCGTGGATTTTAAATCGATGACGGTCAAGGAATTATGTTGTAGCAAGTACCCACCGCTTCGATTGAGACGAAAAATACAATCAGATACTGGTAAATTAACTCATTTGGTCGTAGCTTTTATATTTCCTTGATTTCTCTACTTACAGCTGATTCGTTTACAGGCTTTTTCTTGATTATTTTGTGATATTTTGCGCCCCACCGATAGGCGCCTGGGCGCGGGTATAATCCGTAGATTCCATCTTCCTTCGAATTTGTGTGTTTTGTTTCCGAGCCTGAGACTGACTGACTAAATCACTGACTGACTGACTGATGGACAAAGACAGACAGACAGACAGACAGACAGACGGACTGACGGCTGACGGACTGGCTGACACGCTGACTGACTGACAGGCTCCCTGGCTGAAAGGCTGACTGCCTGACTGGCTGACTTGCTGACAGGCTGCCTGGCGGACAGGCTGCTTGGCTGACAGGCTGCCTGACTGACTGACTGACTGACAGACAGGCTGTCTGACTGACTTACAGACAAAGACAGACAGACTGGCTAGCTGGCTGACTGACTAGCTGACTGACTAACTCACTGACTGTCTGACAGACACAGACAGGCAGATAGACAGACAGACGGACGGACTGACGAAATGGCTAACTGGCTCACTGGTCGACTGGTCGACTGACTGACAGGCTGCATGGCTGGCAGGCTGGCAGGTTGATTGGCTGACAGGCTGACTGGGTTATTGGGGGGCTTGGTAACTGGTTGACTGGCTGACTGACTAACTGAATTGCGCGGAACTTTATCGAAATAGACCTCTGCCCAATTTCTATATTATATTGGCAAATGGCACCAAGTATACAAATAAATGAAATAAAAGATGTCTACAGAGTATATTACAACAAATTTTTTGCGGATGAAGTACAGGATTAATTATAAAGACTGAAGTGGATTACTGTTCATCGATTGGACTTTAGTGACGGGATGCAAAGAAATGAAAATTGCCATTTTGGTGATTGTTGAATCTTTTACTCGTTACCAAGTTTTAATCATCCTCTCTAGTCGTCATATATGTTTTTCTTTTTAGTCGATTTGTTTTGCTTTCAGCACTTCAGTTCTTTTCTTCCAGTTGAAAGATAATGACGTAACTTTATAGCAAGCCGGTCGCGATTATTATCTGTTGTTATCAAACACGATGTCTTTGCGGAGGCAGTGCGCTCTTAACTTTTGATGGATGTTATGTGCTGCCCATTCTTAATCTCACAGTTCAACGTCGCTGCATTTTAGTGGCTCAATCGTGATTGATCTAAAGTTCCTTTTATCTTTAATCCAAGGTGTTTTAATGCCTGATTCCTGGTCAGCACAACCGTGCTTCCCAGACGGAACTCCACATCCCGTGGCCTTGGTTCCGGTAAAGATATCGGATGAAGTGGAGTACAAAACCGTTGCCAACTTGTTCTACAACACTGGAGGTTACGGCGATATAGTCAGTATTGAACGGGTCCAGAACCTATGCCTTTACAAGCAGTACATCGCGTACAAACAGGAAGTGGAACAAAATAACTGCAGGTATGGTAACAACAGAAACGAATTGCAGCTCTTTCATGGCACCAGTGGATCAAACGTGAGCGCCATAAACAGACAGGGATTCAACAGGACCTTTTGCGGAAAGACGCACGGTTAGTTGAATGTTAACAGTGATACCACTCACTTGTGGTGGTAAATAAATAAAAAATGGTAATTTTTAGGCTCAGCAGTGAAACGGGAAAGATCTAATGTTCATGGTAATCAGAGCTCTCTCCATAGCTCAGTGGATAGAGCACCCTGCGTGCCGGTGTTTGGAAGGGCAGATTCGAATTCCGTTGGAGACGCAGACTTTTCAACGAATTTTATTTTAATCTTTTTTCATTTTACTAGTGAGTTTAAAATTCAACACGATCTTTCTTTATATGTTACGATCTATGACGTATACACGGTTACTTGCATTTACGCTCAAGATAAGGTCAAATGTGTCCTAGTTGCCTAATATCTTTCTTCGCTCAAGCTCTGATGGCATTTTTTGCGGAATACGAGATTCTTCTACACTCGCACTTGGGGTGGATTGAATGAGAAAATGAAAAAATGAAAAAAAGGAGCAGCGTGTCCGAGTGGTTTAGGGCGCTGGTGTTGTAATACGGAGGTCCCGGGTTCAAGGCCTCCACCCTGCCACTGGCGGGATTTGTTTCTCGGTAGTCCCGAGTTCAGATCCTCTGTCACGCTTTGTTAACAGCCAACTGGTCTGCCTCCTGCCAGTTGGGATTTTTAACTATTTTCCGTTTATTTGAAATATTGTTTCCTTTGTTTCAGTGGCATGCCTGTAAACTAGCTAAGCTTAGTGCTTGTATAGCTAAGTGAATGACCACTATAAATAAGATTTACATTTTTTACAATGTTATGGAAGAAAGAAAAGCCAGCACTCTGAACAGGTACCTCATCGTATTTTCCTTTTTGTGCCATTGCCAGTATTTCTGGTATAAAAGCTTTCAATTAGGTCCCAGTTCTCGAATTGCTACATTTCGGGGGCATTTCCCACCGATTCCACAACTGCCAAGATAATAGCCCCCCACCTCCCTGAAAAATCCATTATCCGCCCCTGAGGCCCGCAAGCTAGAGACCCCGAAGGAAGCCTGTCCGATGGAGAGAAAATGACCCAATTCTAGAACTCAAGCGATTTTAGGTGATGATGTGAAAATATAAACTTACTCTTTACTTTTTTTTCATAAAACCTCTATTTCTTGTTGTGTTTTTCAGGAGCTATGTACGGGAATGGAGTATACTTTGCTTCAAGGGCCTCTTACTCCATGGGCTATACGGTTCCGGATATTTATGGACTAAGGCACATGTACCTAGCTCGAGTTGTGGTGGGTTTTTACGCCATAGGTTACAAGGGACTTCTTGTGCCGCCTCCATTGTTTGCTCAATCACCCGAGGTGCTTTTCGATTCGGTTGTAGACAACACGGCAAATCCAAACGTGTATGTGGTGTTTCGTGATTCCCAATGTTACCCGGAATATCTCATTACTTTGAAAACTTAACTAACAAGTGCACAGCTCGGATTCACTGCCATCTCCCACGTGACTGGAAAGCTGTTGCGTGACACCATCGCTTCTGACTACCGTTACTACACATCCTTCCCACTGTAGCGAAATATTTTATCAAAACATGTAAATGAGAACAAGCTTTTTGTTATGATTAAGTGGAATTGTACATTTTTAGCTATTCTAACCCGTTTGGTTTTTAAATTTGGTAAACATATGAAAAATTTTCTTAAATTTTCTCTTTCTTTTGCATGCACATATTTCTTTTTCATTCAAAGTTCAGCTTAACAACAACAGGTATGTATCTTAGCTTTTACTTGTGTCACACAAATTTTTTTTTTCGACTTCCAAAGCTAGTATAATCATACTATGCAGTTTAATAAATACATTAAAGTACTCTTCAAGAACTTTCGTTTGAATGGTCACACACTGTGGTTCCATTCTCAGACTTAAAAGTTAGAACCACCTTGTGCAGCATAATAAAAAGTACCACATGAAAGTAATGCTCAGTAACTTTAATTTGAATGGTCACACATCGGGGTTTCATTCACAGACTTTAAAGGGAGAACCACCTTGTAGAGCATAACAAACAGTACCATATGAAAAGACTGTTCAAAAGCTTTCATTTGAAACACTAGGGTTTCATTCACATATACAAATTAGAACCATTTTGTACAGGATGATAAACAAAATCAATCAACATTNACTTAAAAGTTAGAACCACCTTGTGCAGCATAATAAAAAGTACCACATGAAAGTATTGCTCAGTAACTTTAATTTGAATGGTCACACATCGAGGTTTCATTCACAGACTTTAAAGTGAGAACCACCTTGTAGAGCACAACAAACAGTACCATATGAAAAGACTGTTCAAAAGCTTTCATTTGAAACACTAGGGTTTCATTCACATATACAAATTAGAACCATTTTGTACAGGATGATAAACAAAATCAATCAACATTACCACTCATTTCATTTGAATGCTCACACCAGATTACATTATAAGCACTTGTTCTTTTTTTGTTTCCTAGTTAGCTCTACAGAACATTCAGTAAGATTAATATTATCTGTAGTTTTCAAAGTTCCTAAACGGTAATCTGACTATGTTAGGTGTTGAGTTAATACTAATATTAAACAATAATCAAACTATTATTGTATATACAATGGAACATGGCTTGATAGACACAACTAGGTATTGTGGACAGTTTTCTTTGCCCTGTTGGTGTCCATACAGACTGGATTCCAGGGTACTTGAGAGGAAACGGATGTTAGATCGTTAAATTATTAAATGTAAGATAACTAAAAATAAAAATAATTTTATGACTGTTTGAATTAGATTTGTACAGTTCATTGGGCATGTCTTATTGTAAATTACTGAATTTGATTGACTTGTCAATGACTCATTGGTGGATTTGAGCCAGAGGAGCCACAGCCCCATATCGGACATTTCCCTTCTCTAAGTGAAAACANGGGTTTCATTCACATATACAAATTAGAACCATTTTGTACAGGATGATAAACAAAATCAATCAACATTACTTCTCATTTCATTTGAATGCTCACACCAGATTACATTATAAGCACTTGTTCTTTTTTTTTGTTTCCTAGTTGGCTCTACAGAACAGTCAGTAAGATTAATATTATCTGTAGTTTTCAAAGTTCCTAAACAGTAATCTGACTATGTTAGGTGTTGAGTTAAAACTAATATTAAACAATAATAAAACTATTATTGTATATACAGTGGAACCTAACTTGATAGAAACTTGCTTGACATTATTTGACAACTAGGTATTGTGGACAGTTTTCTTTGCCCTGGTGTCCATACAGACTGGATTCCAGGGTACTTGAGAGGAAATGGATGTTAGATCGTTAAATTAGTAAATGTAAGATAACTAAAAAATAAAAATAATTTTATGACTGTTTGAATTAGATTTGTACAGTTAATTGGGCATGTCTTATTGTAAATTACTGAATTTGATTGACTTGTCAATGACTCATTGGTGGATTTGAGCCAGAGGAGCCACAGCCCCATATCCGACATTTCCCTTCTCTAAGTGAACACATAACTCCTAGATATTTCAGTCACAAACCCCTTCAAAATGCAGGAATTACATCCGAGGAGACAAAGGTTTTCAAGTTCTCNGAGCCAGAGGAGCCACAGCCCCATATCCGACATTTCCCTTCTCTAAGTGAACACATAACTCCTAGATATTTCAGTCACAAACCCCTTCAAAATGCAGGAATTACATCCGAGGAGACAAAGGTTTTCAAGTTCTCCAGGTTGGGGGGCATAGCCAACTTACATGTACCTCTAAGTTATTTAACCAGCTGCTCTGGCCCCATTTCTGAATTTCCTGGGTCTCCTCTGGTAAATTCCCCAGACAAACAATGACAAATATGTTGACATCTTCATACATATATGTACTTAGTATCCTAAACAGGTCTTATCCATTACAGCCAACCTGTTAGTTTTCATGTGGCACAAAATAATTAGCCAGCAGGCACTCAGCCAGAAGACAATCACTGGAAAGAAGACAATTTTCCTCATACTACAAAAACTACAGTCTGTAATAGTCAAGTATCTGTACCAAGTTGTACTTTAGAGTCAGGTAACAGACCATATCTGACATCATTGACACTTAAACTCTACTTGCACCTAACAGGTTTTAGTTTTAGCTCTTTGCACACTTTGCATTCCTATGTATCTGGGTAATAGGAAAAGCTTAGAAGGATTAAAGACAGTGAATCAACTGTTCATCCCTCAAACATGTTGTGATTTCTTTTCTTTTATTCCTGTTATATGAAATTTCCAAGTCAAGATGTTGTTCTAGGCCTCATATCTGGTATAATATGCATGTAAAAAGTGCTAACAAAGGGATATAATGGTAGCTTCAAAGTACAAACAATGATGCTAGATTTCAGTTAGTCACAGCCATTAGTTTTGATTTCTAATCTTGACTTGCTAAGCAAACAAGTCATGTACCGTATTTAATATTTACAAATATACAGGTAAAACTTACTTCAACAGCTTTACATTATCTATATATATGTTATAGCTGCATCAATTTCATTATAGG